GACAATATTTGCCATCTTAAATTGGTATAGGATGTCTGGACGATTTTATTTGAAGGCATTTTTGTTTCCTTTGTGAGGTCCTGAGAGTCGTGTGAGGTCCTGATAGTCGTGTGAGGTCCTGATAGTCGTGTGAGGTCCCAAGAGTCGTGTGAGGTCCCAAGAGTCGTGTGAGGTCCCAAGAGTCGTGTGAGGTCCCAAGAGTCGTGTGAGGTCCCAAGAGTCGTGTGAGGTCCTGATAGTCGTGTGAGGTCCCAAGAGTCGTATGAGGTCCTGATAGTCGTGTGAGGTCCTGATAGTCGTGTGAGGTCCTGATAGTCGTGTGAGGTCCTGATAGTCGTGTGAGGTCCTGATAGTCGTGTGAGGTCCTGAGAGTCGTGTGAGGTCCTGATAGTCGTGTGAGGTCCCAAGAGTCGTGTGAGGTCCTGATAGTCGTGTGAGGTCCCAAGAGTCGTGTGAGGTCCCAAGAGTCGTGTGAGGTCCTGATAGTCGTGTGAGGTCCTGATAGTCGTGTGAGGTCCTGATAGTCGTGTGAGGTCCTGAGAGTCGTGTGAAGTCCTGAGAGTCGTGTGAGGTCCTGATAGTCGTGTGAGGTCCCAAGAGTCGTGTGAGGTCCCAAGAGTCGTGTGAGGTCCCAAGAGTCGTGTGAGGTCCCGAGAGTCGTGTGAGGTCCCGAGAGTCGTGTGAGGTCCCAAGAGTCGTGTGAGGTCCCACGAGTCAGTTTAATGTAATGACTCCCAACTAATTTTCATTTAACATATCTACTACATATATTTATCTCTAACGCGCGCTAATACGAACGTTCACACGAATCTATTTACTGTTCAGTAAACAGAGGCATTAGGTGAAAGAATCTCTGCCCTGTTTGTTTCTATCTTAGCCGGGAATCGAACCCAGGTCCTTAGAAATAAGACCCCCGAGCGCTGTCCCCTCAGTCGAAGACCCCCGTGTTCACCCATTTGTACTCGCCTATTTGTGCCTGCAGGATGGAGCATTAGCATCGAGCATTAGCTCTTGGACTCCGCCTTTCCAGCCGCCGGTTGTCTAAAGCAATGACTCCTGGGCCTATTTCCCTTGTGTACTCACCGAGTTGTGCTTACGGGAGTTGAGCTCCTTGGCCCCGCCTCTCAACTGCCAATCAATTGGAGTCTGAGCCTGTTTGGCTTTATCATATCTACGTTTGAAACTGTGTATGGAGTCTGCCTTCACTCCACCCTATCACTGTCTAGTGATTGGTGAACCCGGAGTGACAATGTAACGTATGATTACGTATACATATTTGTTTGTTTAGACAAAGAGTTTATTGTTTTTATATCATTATTTAGTATAGTCTTGGTTACAGCAGTCGAGCTGACGGTGTAGTGACGTGTCGTAGAAGTTGAGACGTAGCCTGGAGCAGGGCAGAGAGCAGAGTGAGGCCGGGGGTTGAGAGCTCAGATGCGGGTTGAGAGTCGCAGAGCATGGCGCTCTGAATGCGGGCGGAGTCGAGGAGCTCTATGCGGGACGAGAGCATGGAACAAATCCACAAGGGCCGTGACGAGGATTCGAACCTGCGTCCGGGAGCATCCCAGACACTGCCTTAATCGACTGAGCTACGACAGGGTTAAAAGGGTTGAAACCCTTGTTCATTTGATGCATCACGTTAGTGTGATCTCTGTGTGTGAGCATGGAAGCTCGTTGCGGCCGGAGTCTGGCTGTCTGCTCTGTGTCGAAGCGTCTTGTAAGGGTAGGATCTGGACACGTCGAGTGCTACATTATTGTTGGTGAATGTTGAAGATGTGCGGCATCTCTCAAGCGTCTGTACTGAACCACTCTTGAAATTAGACTAATGATGATTGATGAAGATTAAGCTCCCCAAGAGATGGCACGGGAATGAGTGCAGAGTTACAAACCCATTAAGATTTCAACTTAGATTCAACAGAGCAGAAGAAGTTGTTAAACACGTGGGACAAAATCTTACTGAACCGATTATACGAGTCATAAATACTCATACTCCGCCCAAGTAAAACAGAAACAAGCAACACTTAGTGGGCCAGCCAGAGACTTAAGGTCCTGCAAAAAAAAGCACGGGAAACCCGTAGGTGGTAGATTTTTTGGAGTGAATGTAATCTTTGGTTGTAAATCATGATTCGATGTTGTTTTTTTAGATTCAGCTACTCGGAACAAAATCAAGTAGTGCGGGCTGTGATGAGTCCGTAATCAATCAATCATTGTTGTTGTTGTTTTAGATTTATCTATTCAAGACGAAATATCCATGTAGCTACAGTGAGCCCGTAATTGAGTTCGTTTATTCTTGATAATCTTGTTTATGTGATATTTGGGTTAAAGTTTAAAATGGAGGTGGGATTTCCTCCATTTCTTTTTCGCTTCTGTTTTAGCGCACTGGTTTTAGTCTTGTTGTAATAACATTATCTTGGTGGTGGATATAGATGCACAGTGTTCACTAGTGTGTCCCATTCTTCAACTGTTTTTTAATCATTGTAGTCGCTATGGAATTTACATTTACATTTGGAATTTACTAACTCCCAGGCACCTGGTTACTGCTAGGTGAACAGGGGGCATCAGGGTGAAAGGAAACCTGCCCACTTGTTTCCGCCTTCGCTGGGAATCGAACCCGGACCCTCAGGACTCGGCTGTCCACTCAGCCGCCCAGGATCCACCCCCACAAGCTCGAATTACTGATCCTCCTTATGATGCAACAAGCTAACTCATAGGTATCTATTTACTGCTAGGTAAACAGACTATTAAGTGACAGGAAACGTGTCCAATTATTTCAGTCCTGTTAGGGATTCGAACCTGGAATTCCCGATTGTGAGTCGGGATCGAACCCGACTATACTACCGGGAACCTTTTGGAGGCCACTGATCCAGACCACTCCTTCAAAAAATCAGATGAAACACTAACAGTTTTAAGCTCAACACGCTACATGGTAGGACAGAAAATAGAAGACGCTTTTTCACCCATAAGTTTATAAACTCATTGAATCGATTACCCGCCGAAGCCGTAAATCCAGAAACACTGCGGAATTTTAACCACCCTGCTTGAAAAATTCTTCAGGACAAATGAAAGGGACATTTGACAAGCCGCTGGCGTCCTGTTTTCGTCGAGGCCACTAGTGTGTTAGTGGCTCTCAGGTAAATTCAGGTAAATATAAACCAGTAGAAAGGCCTACCCGCTGAAATCCTAAATGCCAAAACACTGCTGAATTAAAGATCTAAATCGATAAAATTATCAGGACAAGTCTTTGACAAGCCGCCGGCTACCTGTCCTCGTTGAGGCCACTAGAGTGTTGGTGGTCCTCAGGTAAATTCAGACAAATGTTTGCGCCCGCTTGTGCGATTTTTTCATAAAGTTGCCCCTACCCTACTGTCACATTTTCTCTATCTCACCGTCTCCATAACGTTTTCTCTTATCATGTACGTACGCTCGGGGTTACTTTTTTGTTATTATTTCCTCTTTTTTTAGTTATTATTTATTTATCCACCGCTGCCCACTGGATGGGGGGCGGTGTGCAGGACAAACGTATAAATAAATCCACTACGGGCTCACCATAGCCGGAGCTACTTTCCCCGCTCCTGTGCCAGGTAAGTTACGGGCTCACCATAGCCCGTGCTACTTGGAACTTGTTCCGAGTAGCTAAATCTATAACAACAATCTCCACATTATCTCCGTAGGATGCAGTCGTACCTTCACAGATCTCCAATATCAGCTAATGATATTGGTAATGGCTCAAAAGGGCCACCACTTACGGGCTATTCATGCCCGTGCCACCTTTTGGGTGGCTTAATCTTCATCAATCAATCAATCTCCACATTTGTCAGTTGCTTAATATAGAAACTGTACCTGTAGTCGATCTCGAACCCATTGATGATGTGATGACTTATATTGAATTTTGTAACTAGCTCACCAAGATTGTAAATTGCTTAGCTAAATGAATTGTGGGGTTCAATCCCTGAGCCAGTTATGTGCCTCTGTAACACTTTCCACTACCACCCACATGATGGGTATGGGGTGCATAGTAAATTAACTAACTATACAAGCCGGTACAATGGGTTGTGAAGGTACATACATTAGTGATTAAGTGGTACATAATTGCAATGCCACTAACACGCATAGTTTCGTGCAGGTCCTTAAGCTAACCAATAAATATAATGATAGGTATACATTTTAAGAGAATGTTAAATCATTCCTCCGAGGCTAAGGGTGCCCTTCTTCCAGCCAGAGGTGGTACTCCCTTTTAACAGAATATAAGTTCACATAATAACTACCTCGGCATCGATTGATAAAGTTAGAGAAAATTCTCATGAAAAATGGAGGTGTCTGGCAAGCTGCCAGCTTCTCACAAGCCCTTCATTTTTATTCTCACTTAAAATTGCATTGAGAAAATATAATTTCAAACTGTCATATAAAGAGCAACCAAGAGAATCTGTCAGTAAAGAGATTTAACCACACTTAGAATATTTCCCATGCCCAGAACTCAAAATCTCATTTTCAAAGGAAAATGGGCTCATATTTTACTGAACAAAACTTCTGCAACTGGAAATGATATGCTCAGTGGCTTTCCCAAGGCCCCAACTATTTCTTGTAATTTTGCCTCAATCTGTGAACTGGGTCCCAACATTCTAAGCAAATCCACACATTCCCTGCTTCAGAGAACTCTTGTTTGTCAAATCGATTGAGTAAATTTAGCATGGAAAGTGCATGTTCCAACCAGAAATTCACCGAATTGAGGTTTCATTATACAGTGTGTGTATTTCACTGGCGATGAAAGAAGATAATTAGCTTAATCTTTTTGATGAAAATTTGAAGTGTGGACAATATCGAGATTAATTAGCTGTAAAATATAAACACACTAATATTCTTACATACTATCAGCTTTTCTGCTATCAGAATTATGTACAAAGGTGCCTTCTTTTCATGTGGACATATGTTCATTAAATACTGTTTACGGTAAATCTAAATACTGTATAACAGTTATACTAAAAGATAAAAAAAAGAAATGACAAAATTCAAGAATTTTTTATTTAAAAAAAATGCAAAACTTTCCCTTAAAGATAAAACTATTCTTAAAATAATCAACAAGGAATGTTGTAAGATCTATGGAGCATTTTGAACAGAAAACCAAATATCATTTGCAATGAAATACTTGTACCAAGAAAGTGCTACCCTTTCGCTTAGCCATAACAGACCACAAAATGTGACAAAATGGCAATATATAAAAATAAGTTCAACTATAACTGATAATATAATATCATAAAAACTATTAATACGTTTATAAAAATGGCAAATATTACTGTCAAGCACCAAAATGGGAGAATATTTTTTCATCTCAGAACAAACTATATTAATACATCTTCCCAAATTTGAAATTTCTCAACATAAACATATTGAATTGTAAATTGAAGCTTCTTATCTTGAAAATTTACAGAATTAATATTTAACACAAAAGTTTATATCACAGACTAAAATATCATTCACAAAAATCTGGACGTATTACATACCCCATTAATATAAATAAATATTACATAATACAGTAATTATAAAACAAAACAAATTATACAATATCAAAATCTTATTGCACAATATATCATCACAACTACTGTTTCCCACTTTCACGGGGGGTGAGGTCAAACAAAACAAATACATTTTTATGTTCTCTCTTTGTAGCATACCTTATGCTACAAATTACATTTATTTAATCTGATTACTTGAAGACAATGTGAATATAATGTGTCAGCTTTACTAAAGAAATATAAAGGCAGAAGATTTCTTAATACAAGTATTGCCCTAATATTTACTATAAAGCTATTTAATTCATAGTATCTTGAACTAAATTATAACTAAAAACTTTGCTGAAGTTACAATACTATCAAAGTATACTGAAATATATCTGGTCTCAGTGTAACAGATATTCAATTTACTTTAAACACATAGTGCAATGCTTAAACAAGCAAGCAGTTAATTAATGTAACACATAGTTCAATATCATGCAATCATTCTTACTATGGTACATTATTATGACAACTAACTTGATTTATATGTACTCTATATGAATTGTCATTTATTGGTGTTTTAAATGGAAGGTTCAAAACAAATATTTCTATTATATTTTTGCTAAGATATTTTATAACAAATGCAGCTGCCATCTCACAAATAATTAATTTAGAATTAGTTCCCACACAACAGTGCACTAAAATGGAAGCAATGTTGAAGTACTGTATACAGTATCTTGTTACCTGAAGCAGCTACAGTATTTATATTATATAAGCTCAAAATTTTTCATTTCAGGCTCCTATCATGTGCATATATTATACCTTCCAATTATCATTATATTAATTTCATAAATAAAATATTTACCAATAAAGATGAAGCTGCAGTTTTCTACAGAAACAGTCATCGAGAGTAGAACAATTTACCTCCAGTAACTTGGGGTCTACTGAGAAGTGGGTTAAAAAATTATTAATCTCTTGTTAGGACTGTAATTGCTTAATATCAGAGCATGCATAGTACAAATTACAATACAAAAGTCTTATTACCAAAATCATAAGTGCTTTGCTTTAAGAACCTGAAATAATTAATTACCCCCAGCCACTGGGACTGGATGGAAGAGCAACAGCTTCACTTCTTGTAGGCTGGTGTTCCCTCCCAACCCGTCTAATTGATTGGGCACTATTTTTTTTTCTCTCTGTCCTATCCAATATCCTTATCCTCACATCCCTTCCAAATGCTATATAGTCAAAATGGTTTAGCACTTTCTCCTGATAATTAATTATTAACCCATTACAGCACTTATTTTCATTAGGTATTTTGCACATAGGTAGGTGTTTGTGACAATTATATTCATGAGCTGAATAAAAATTATAAAAATCATTAAAGGCCTTTTAATTTTTTCTAAAGTTATTACTATAATTATTTATTCATATTATGGCACAAATATAAATTTGTGAATACTGTATATATAAAATAGTGAGATTAAATTAAACATCAGCTAAATAGTATATCCCACATCCATCAATGCTATACAGCTTTTCTTAATGAAGTGTCTTCCATGATCCAGATTTAGGTACCTCCCTATATGCACCAACTCATCCTGTCTAGCCTCATCGTCTCTTCTTCTTATCTTGCTTACGACGATGATGTTGACTGTGGCCCCGGTGTGGTGGCGAAGTGTGAGGAGAGCCGTGATCAGAACCATCATCATCGCTCGAATCCCCATCCTGTAGAATATTAAATGTTTCAGTAAAACTTAACAAAATTGCAAACCAATAGCTCAATCAGAGAATGAAGTACAAACTTGTTGTCATACAACAGCGTGCGGACAGCACGCTGGACTTGTGATCCTGTGGTCCCGGGGTCGATCCCGGGCGCCGGCGAGAAACAATGGACAGAGTTTCTTTCACCCTATGCTCCTGTTACCTAGCAGTAAAATAGGTACCTGGGTGTTAGTCAGCTGTCATGGGCTGCTTCCTGGGGGTGGAGGCCTGGTCGAGGACCGGGCCGCGGGGACACTTAAGCCCCGAAATCATCTCAAGATAACCTCAAGATAAGATTCCCAAACCTCCCATCCCACTGACATAGAGAAAGCGTCAGAAATCGAGAATACAATCCCTCCTCCCCACAGACCAGAACTTCAATAAAAAATATTAGCTTAAATGAGGTTAGGTATCTTCGTCATTTTTATTTTGTATTTTATATCTTTATGAATTCCCTTTAAGCAAGAGATTTCAAGAATAAGACTTGGCCAAAAAAGTATTGTTAGATTTTTGTCTTTGTCATTGTCTTAGGTTTCAGTACAGAATTTCATTTGCCATGAATTCACTTAAGGGGGTCTATTTTATGGGGAAGCCCCTGTAAATAGGTATATTGCTAAACAGTCAAACTCAACCAAGAGCTCCAAAATTGGGTCAGGTATGCTAACTAGCTTTGTCTCTATAACTTACATTAGATATTGTGTTTAATGAAAAGAAAAATTAATATCATAGCAAGATATTATGGGAATAGCAAGTACAATATATAGAAACCAGTAAACATTAAAAAGAAGAGCAACCTTGCAACATGTGCTCTTTTTCATATTAATTTTTTTTTTAACAAATGCAGTTTACCAAAGAGGTTGTCAGTCTAAAAAAATATAGGCCTAAATTGTCAGTCTAAATTATATAGATTTAAATAAGCCTAACCTATCTAAAACGTAATCTAGCCAATCCTAACAAAAATAACACATTTGTATTTTATATATACAATATTTTCTGTGTGAAGTGACTGATATATTGACTGTTGCCCCCTGGAAGCTCCTACTAATCTAGTAAAAAGAGTTCACTTAATACTCTTTACTTCAATATTACCACATATATAAATGAAATCATTCAGTAGAAAATTTAATTTAGCTGTTCCTGCATTTAATTTAGCTATTCCTGCATTTAATTTAGCTATTCCTACATTTAATTTAGCTATTCCTGCATTTAATTTTGCTATTCCTGCATTTAATTTAGCTATTTCTGCATTTAAAATAGGTATTCCTGCATTTAATTTAGCTATTCCTGCATTTAATTTAGCTATTCCTGCATTTAAAACAGCTATTCCTGCATTTAAAATAGCTATTCCTGCATTTAAAATAGCTATTCCTGCATTTAAAACAGCTATTCCTGCATTTAAAATAGCTATTCCTGCATTTAAAATAGCTATTCCTGCATTTAATTTAGCTATTCCTGCATTTAATTTAGCTATTCCTGCATTTAAAACAGGTATTCCTGCATTTAAAATAGCTATTCCTGCATTTAATTTAGCTATTCCTGCATTTAAAACAGGTATTCCTGCATTTAAAATAGCTATTCCTGCATTTAATTTAGCTATTCCTGCATTTAAAACAGGTATTCCTGCATTTAAAATAGCTATTCCTGCATTTAATTTAGCTATTCCTGCATTTAAAATATGTAATCCTGTATTAAAGAACAAAAAATCTAGCTCTGAGCAGCACAAGAGAACTACCCAAGGGGAAAAAAAAGACACTTACCCTTTTGTCATCTCGACTGGGTACAAACATCACTGCCCCAATACATACTAGTTGAAATATGGCGCCCAGAAACAAGCCATATTTCAATACTTCGTCAAAAATGTCAGTTTCTGTGAGCGAGGGATCAATCGCCATCTTGTTGTTGACAAACACCTCAAGAATCCTCCAGACGCTCCACGCATCAACCTGAGAACAAATATACAGAATATTCAAGCAGGGATTACGTTTTTTTTTATATTTTTACACACTTATTATACGGTTATTTGTATATAATATTTGTTTTTATAGGTATAACAGGTATCAATACAACACAGTGATATAAAGTGCTGTTTACGGATAACGAAGCCAAAGCCATTTGCAATCAGAATTGGTTGAGATGCTATTTTTTGTTAATATTTAAATCATTTATGTAGATTATATATACATAAATTTGTGTTTTATATAACAAACATTAGATCATATATCTATCACTTCTATTTTGTATAAATATAATACACACGGCTAATGATGAGATGCAGATGTACGATAATAATATAAGTTGGACCTCATTCTCACTACGATATTCAAGCCATCTCACATGTAGTGTTGTGACAATTGTCTAACATCACACACATTTTGTTCATTGTCTAACATATATTTTATTTATTTATTCGTTCATAAGAAGATACATTGGGTTGTAAGAGTTTATAACATTGGTGTTCTTACATTCTTGCAAGCAGGGTTGCCAGATTGGGCTACAAGTAGCGAATTGGGCTACTTTTGAGAGCCCCGCGCTCCCAAATGTTTAATTTCGCTACTTGTTACTTTTTGGGCTAATTTAAAAGCAAGTTGGGCTAATTTGGGCTATTAATGTTAAGCAACTCAATAATCATTATTTATGGTCAGATGCAGCACAAACAAGCACCCCGCGATAGCAGCCATAGACTGACAATTTAAATGCGAGCACAGCACGCAGTATATATCCTATTACGACCAAAGATCACATTCACTCCAAAAAAATCTTCCACTTACGGGCTATTCATGCCTGTGCCACCTCTTGGGTAGCTTAATCTTCATCAATCAATCACAAATAAGGAACAACGATTTCAAGTTCAACAAGCCACAACTTAGGACAGAAAACAGGAGATTTTTTTCACCCATGTGGGGCTTAACAATGAACAACTACCAAATCATCAACATTATCTTGGAGTCAGAATCCACCAATCACTGATAGTTGTACAACAAGTGGAAGCTGCAGTTATAAAAGCAAACCAAATCCTTTGGAATAGTCAAACGAAATTTTTACGAAGGAAAAGGTAGTTTATACAACTGTATAAATCTCTGGTGTGCTTCCACTTGGATTATTAATTATATCCACGCATTGAGACCTCATCTTCAGAAAGACATATCTGCTTTGGAGAAAGTTCAACACCGGGCGACTAAAATCTTTCCCGAACTATGTCGACTTTCATACCGGGAACGGTTGAGGGCCACAGGGACCAGACATGACAGGGCTGCTCTCGGCAAAACATTTAAATTACTGAACAATTAGGAAGATATTGACCCAGAACACTTCTTCAAAAGGCTAGATGTAAGACCAACAAGGAGCAACGGTTTCCAGCTCAACAAGCCACACTGAAGGATGGAAAATATTTGTTTTCACCCATAGAATTATAACGTTGTGGAAACGCATATCCGCCGAAGCCGTAAATGCCAAAACGTTGCTCGATAAAATCACCAGGGCAAATAGGGGACATTTGACAAGCCGTCGGCTTCCTATCCTCACTGAGAGATAGTGACTGGTAAATTCAGGTAAATCTTAGCTAATTAAATAATCCTGAAAAGTTTGCATATTGAAGGCAGGGCTGTGTTAGCAGCATTATACTCTCTGAGCAAAGCAATGCACTGTTGCCCTCCAACCCAGATGACGGGCACTGGGGCCCATGTCTGGGGACCTATACTTACAACCACGTTCTCGTCTGTGGACCCTCCCTACTTTGGTACGGCTCTCAGTGTGCTTGGTAGAGTTAGGAGGGTGTTTGTCTGGTTAGGTGAGGTATTTGTTGACCAAACCACACACTAGAAAGTGAAGGGACGACGACGTTTCGGTCCGTCCTGCACCATTCTCAAGTCAATTGTGCATTCTCACAATCTACTTGAGAATGGTCCAGAACGGAACGAAACGTCGTCGTTCCTTCACTTTCTAGTGTGTGGTTTGGTCAACATATTTCAGCCACGTTATTGAGACTCCTCGTCTGCAGGTGTTTGTTTGCTAGGTCAGTATAGGTACACAACTGGTTGGGTTCTGGTCACACTACGACACGAGACGAGTCGGCTAAACTCATTATTTTCTGTTTTAAATCCGGATGTATTGTTATGCTAGGCTGTATTAGGTTATGTTATTAAGGTTAGGCTGCATTGGGCTCGGTTGAATTAGATTGGTTTGATTTGGGTTACGTTAGGTTGGGTTGAGCTATGTTAGTCAGGTTTCAAAATTCAAAATTCACGCGTAAAGCACGCGCCCGGCTCTTCGTTAGCCCTTTGACCTGGGTTCGTATCCTGGCCGTGAAGGATTGACCGGGCAACAATCCTTAACTGTTCACCCAGCAGTGAATAGGTTGTTAAACGATTTGGCGGGTCGTATTCCGGGGAAAACAATAGGATTAAGGACCTGCCCTAAACGCAATGCGTGCTAGTGGTTTTACAAGAATTTAAAAACTCTTTTTTATATATAAATAAAAAAAAATAAAAAAAAATCCGCCGACGAATCTTCTTGTGTGCGATGAGACCTAATTGTATCTGGCATAATTAAAATCTTAACTTAAATAATTCGTTTGTTAGACAATATATGATATTCAGGTCTATAAACTACTTTAGAAAGGCCTATAATGCATATAAATATTAATTTACACATTCCTGGCGCTATACGCTAGGAATTTCAATATGGCGTTCAAATAATTTTAGGCAGGGAGTCTCTGGGTCGGTTGGTCGCTACGGGTCATCGACGACGACCCTGTCAGTCGTCAGGAAGCAGCGGCGGCGTGAGCATGTCGCTCCCGTGTAGGTAAGGCTGATAAGTTTTTTTTTTTTTTAACATATCTGAGCAGTTGGGAGGTACACATGAATATATAGTCTACCTCCACCTACAATGCTTAATGCATTATACATTTGTTCGCTATTATAACATTGAGTTTTATAATGTCTCGAGGGTCATTGTTTCCTTTTTTTTTCATCCGGGTTGTGTAGTATTCAAATGTTTGTATTCCACTAATGCTAAATAGTCTGTCCTCTCTCGGATATTGTGGAAGATTTTGAGGATCATGATTTGCCAATATTATATGGGTAGGATATTATGTAGAATACAGATCGCCATTGTTAAACTACCCCGTCGTCAGGCTATAGGCTCGTTAACGCGGCAGTCGTCTCCCCCACATCCCAAGACGCATTTATTATCGACGTTCATGTTTCATATTAAAAACAGTTTTTATCGCGTATAAATTAATTTTATATTCTATAATTAATTAGGCGTATAGTAGGATCGGTATTTAGGTTCTGTTGGCAATTATTTTCACTTGAAGTATATGAAGGGTGAAGCATTTACAGTTGCCTGTCCTCAGGCCAGGCTTCCTTACGCGGCCGCCCGACCCAAAGCCTCATTCGTCAATTTTATCGCAGTGTATTCAGAATTATTCTCGCGTATAAATTAATATTATTTCATCAAGTTAATAGTTAACAACTAAGTTTAGTGACAAGCGACAGTCCAATGTAGAAATACTGCAATAGTTTAGTTTAACATACTCATACTCATAACAGGTATGAGTATAACTCATAACATAACATAACATTACCCATACTCATCTTGTGGGTGGTAGTGGAAAGGGTTACAGAGGCACATAATGGGCTCAGGGACTGAACCCCACAATTCATTAAGCTAAGCAAGTTACAATCTTGATACACAGTTTACATTTGGTCAGGTCTACATCAGTAGATAATGAGAATAACCAGAGTCTCCGTGGTGTAGTGGTAAGACACTCGCCTGGCGTTCCGCGAGCGCTATGTCATGGGTTCGTATCCTGGCCGGGGAGGATTTACTGGGCGCAATTCCTTAACTGTAGCCTCTGTTTAACGCAACAGTAAAATGTATACTTGGATGAAAAAACGATTCTTCGCGGCAGGGGATCGTATTCCAGGGACCTGCCCGAAACGTTACGCGTACTAGTGGCTGTACAAGAATGTAACAACTCTTGTATATATCTCAAAATCTCAAAGATACTGGTAATCGAGTCTAAGCCGAGCAGTAGTAACATCTAGAAGTCTGCTGATATTACTGGATGAACCATATATGTGTGGCTCCTCTTGCATGATAGTATGATACTGCAATAGAGGAACAACTTCCCAACAGGAAGGAGCGGGGACACCCCTCCGTGAACTGAATTTACCTGAGGGCCACTAATACTAGTGGCCTCGATGAGGGCAGTAAGCCGGCGGCTTGTCAAAGGTCCCCCCATTTGTCCTGATGATCTTTTCCAGCTTTATTTTAAAACCCAGCAGAGGTTTGGCGTTTACTGCTTCGGCGGGTAGGCAGTTCCACTGGTTTACAACCCTGTGGGTGAAAAAGCATTCTGGCTTGTTGAGTGTGAACCCGTTGCACCTTGCTCGTATAACATCTGACCTTTTGAAGACATTGTCCTGATCGACATTCTCCATATTGTTTAGTATTTTAAAGGTTTCTATGAAGTCCGCCCTGTTATGCCTGGTTTGTGGTGTTGTTAGCCCTGTGGCCCTCAACCGTTCCTGATACAACAGATGACTAAGCTCTGGTATGATTTTTGTCGTAAGACAAAGCTCCATAGCTCTGGCAAGACATGGATCCAGAGCAGCTGTGTCTTTCTGAAGATGAGGTCTCCATGCCTGGATGCAATAATTCATGTGGGGGGCGCACCATCTACAGTCTAAGTAGACTTAGGCGTGCGGTTACACAAATGGTCGGGCTCCGGTTAAATAACTGGTCGGGTTCCGGGGGTGTCACTTGGGCTGTGGGTTGTGCATGGTCAGGCTTCGGTTCGTGCATGGTTGTGCTTCAGCAGTTGTTTGTGTACTAGTGCTCCAGGTTTGTTTGCTAAGGCTCTGTTTATATGTTTGCTAGAAATCCAGGTTTCTTTTTTGTATATAGTTCAATTGTTTATAATGGGTCAATAGTTGGTGTCTAGGG